CAAGGTCAGCAGTTCGAAACTACCAGCTGTTCCGCGGGAGAAAGATGAGGCTTTCTGCTCCTGTAAAGATTTACAGCCTTGGAAACCCTGTACAGAGTTGCTATGAGTTGGAACCGACTCCAAGGCACATAACAACAACAACAACATATATATATTTATATATATATATGTATGAAGTCCTGATGTGGCGCTGTGGGCTAATGTGTCAGACTGCAAAGTCATTTGAACTACAAGGTCTATGGTTCAAATTCACCAGCTGCTCCTTGGAAACCTTATACAGGGTTGCTATGGGTTGGAATCGACTCAACAGCACTTGACAACAACAATATATATATGCGGATGTATATACACATATATAGATGTGTATGCATATACACATGTATAGATGTGTGTGTTGTGTATTTCACAAAAACAGCATGAATATACATTAATCTATTATATATTAATAGTTATACTAATACATCATATTCCAAAGGGAAAAATATATAATCATACTCATATGGTATGATGAAGTAAAAGTTCATCATACATTATAAGTATATACTATACATATGTCTAGAGGAACTAAGGAGTCCTGGGATGGAGCTGTCAGATATGCACTGGACTGTTAACTACAACAAGGCTTTGGAGTCCTGGTGTGGCACTGTGGGTTTATGCGCTGGACTGCAAAGTCCATTTGGACCATTAGGTCAGCAGTTGAAGCTCACCAGCTGCTCCTTGGAAATGCTATACAAGGTTGCTATGGGTTGGAACTGACTTGATGGTACTTAACAACAACATGTATGGAAAAAAAAAAAATATATATATATATATACTCATATGGTATGATGAAATTTTAATTCATCATACCATATGAGTATGCACTATATATATGTCTAAAGGAACTAAGGAATCCTGGTGTGTCACTGTAAGATAAGCACTGAACTACTACCTCAAGGTTGGTGGTTAAAACACACTAGACTGTCCTTGGAAACCCTGTACAGGGTTGCTATGAATGAAAACCAATTCCACAGCACTTAACAATGCATCAACAACAAGAAGAACTAAAATTGTAAAAAGGGTATATAGCACATTAACATTGCATTCTGATGTTTTAGAGAAGTAATGATAGCTTTTTTGTTTTTTTTAATCTTGAATGAAAGTTTTTGGAATTTTAAAGTGATTGTGGCTTAATCTTGCCATTTTGTTTTAATTTGTGGGTTAATCTGTGGTAGCCACATCTTCTTGTGCCTAAACTGAAATACTCTCATTAGTTTCTTAGTGGTTTAAGTTTTATTCTCTTGCAAATCACTTATATATTTAAAGTTATACATATATATGTATA